CCAGATCCCGCTTGTTTCACTTTATAAGTTCACTTATGAAGAAATTATATTACATCCTGTTCTGGTTGCCGATGTTTTCTGACTATTGCAACACCCTGAAAGCTTTTGCAGACTTTTAGCGCAAATCCTTATATAGCTTCATCTTTTGGAACAAGCGAAGACCATCAAAAAAGTAAAAGTCAATTGCCTCCTACATGTACGCGAAAAATAATTCAGTTAGGATTCTTGACACATGAGTTGTAGCCTTTCTTATTTATAAACTAATATGTAGACTTTCAACGTGGCTAGTGCTAACTTTGCATCTTCCAGCCATTTTGACCAACATGCGTCACTCGCAGCGACTTTAACACAGGGTAGATCTATTACATTCTGCCAACTTGGCATAATTTAAGACATCAAATTCATATCAAGAACTCTAGAAAATGCGTCGAATTTTACAAGTATCTTAAAGTTAGTTGTCGCCAGATCAATGACGTTAGCAACTAGTTGACACCGTTTAAACATCGGTCTGTCTGCCCAAACTTGTCTTGTCATCGCCCTTTCCTAGTAGCAGATTCCAGCCACATGTTGGGGGTGGTTGCCCTTCCGGTGAGCTATACTATGTTAAGACAATATTTTTTGAAATATGGAGGCATCTATAAAGAATTTGCGTCTGAATCTTCATCTTTTAGATTAGACCGAATGGATGCATATATTAGTGATGTTAAGTTCAAAGTTGTTGTTGAATGAAGAATTTTTGCCAGAGCAACTTTAAAGAGCAATTTTAATAACAAATCTAAAAAATTCCTTAAAAAAGTACAATCACTATGCCTTGCACAAAGACTATATGAAACCTGTCAGGTGGGAGGAAACTAAGCTATTACACTACAAAAAGGATTCCTTTGGAGCACTGAGTAGACATTTGACTTATCTCCTCTGATAGTGAGCTTCAGTCTTTCAGCAGATGAAGCTTTTTCGTAAATTCACTAAAGAAATGCAAAAGTTTTCTGGATGAACAAGAGTAGGATACAATAGAATCTCTTTAAGTAGACCAATAGGGTGAAACAGGCGAAACCTCGACAAAATCCTTCTAGAAGATCTTGAAAAGCAAGGAATGGAAAATTGCGTACAGGGTTTAATTCATCTGATGGTTAATAATTCACCTTAAATGCCCATATTCGCCCTATCGACTCTGCAGAAATGGAGGTGTACCTATAGCACTTCATGCTTCCACAATTCTTTATTCGTTTTAATAGCATAATTTAATTTAACTCTCTAAATATTACTATAGTGTAAGTATATATAAGACTGTATGTATCGATTTTGTCCTTTGTACTTTCTCTAGAGTCTAACATGTACCGCTAGATGAGCCTTTCGAGCTCCCCCTTTCCTCTCCTAATTAGTGCCTGTCTTTTCCCTTTCCCACTCATCACATTCGACCACAAGTTGCACTTGTCACTCTTAATCATATAAAAATTGTCGCTCACTTGTTAACTGAAGGAGAGAAGGGGAGGTGGTAGAGGGGCAAAGAACTGCGCGTTTTGTGCTAATTTATCTTCTTCTCTCCCCAAAACTCCCTTCTTCGGAGTTCCATTACATGCACCCTTCCTGTTTGTGACTGTCACGAGCATCGTTTGACAATGGTAATGAAGA